CATTGATTTCAGAATATAGTAAGAATGTTTATTGATCCCAAGGTTAATTCCATTTTATATTTGGGGAATTTAACCTAAGAATAAAACACCATACCACAGGTTATATGGTAGTAAAAAGGATTAATGTCTATTCCTGCCATTCTAGCTCTGAAAATTCTATCTGGTTATGCTATATAATGATAAAAAAATTGAACTGTCAAGGTACTTCAAAGTAGATTAAAGACGTGTAAGCTATAGTGGACTGAAATATTTACAAATAAGGAACTGGGTAAGTGTCTCTAAGTGCACTCATTTATGACAGGTGAGTAAGCCATGTAATATGTGTTAAGCTAGTAAAATCGCAAACTCCCCACCCAAAAAAATCTATAATTTTAATCAAAAGTTTGTTTCAGTCATTGAAATTCTGTTATTGCTGCTTACAAACATTAAAGTCAATCAAAACATCAGTAGCTTTGCAAGATCAATATTTTTAATATGTTTGCATTGCAGTGCTGCAGATTTTTGGCTAATGGATCGCACCCATATTGATTTCCATAGGAAGTGTTAGACTGATACTGAAATAATTAAAAAAAAAACAGGGATTATTGGTTTGGAATTTTGAAGAAGATAGAAATATAAAAATTGGTTATTGACTAAATTGCTCGAGGTGAGTGAACCTTGTGAACTTGCAATAAACAGGTAGCACTGAGTCATTACCGAATACTACCTTAGTCCCTTAAACTGAAAATCAATCAATAACCTATTATAACAATGCAAATTGTGGTGGCAAAGTGACATAATCTGGATGTAAAAGTCACACTTTATCAAAATATATCTGCATAAGTACAAGTGTGCACATGTCTACTGGAATGTATGTGGCTGGTTTTGACTTTGAAATTCATACTGAACATATTTTGAGTAGCATTTTTAAAAAGATAAACTGCTTCAAATAGCAGCACAAACAAGAAGCATACAATTATTCTGTGAGCAATAATGACAGTACAAACACTATAGCATGCTAAGCAACAGATTCTGTTCTTTTGATTCAGAGCAATATTACAATTGTTGCCCTGTTCTCAAAGCATGGGAGTAATGTATGCAAGCATTCCATTAGATACAGATGCATTCCCACAATATGAATCTAGTGCACGTTACATTGTTCTTGTTTTTCAGCCTTTTGTTATTAGGAGAACCATATTTTCATCTAGGAAGCTTACTCTGTATTTTCATTTGGTTACCATTATAAATTTATGAATTCTTTATCTCAGAGGCAATCTAGTATATTTGGGTTTTATAAAAGCTTCCACATAGGTTTTGCCTAGGATAATAATATGTAGACATTGGAGTTACATATTCTGTTACACATTTTTATTCACTGGATTTTTAAAATTCTACATTATTTACATAATATGGAAATGTCTGTTTGCTTTAATGGTACCAGGAGATTAAGTTGTAAGATAAAACTAAGAATTAGTAGTCACTACTCTTGCGTTTTATTGCCATCTCTATAATCCTGGTCAATACTTTCCTTTCATAAGCTGGCTCTCTTTATGAAGAAAAAAATTGATCATGATTTCTTCTGCTACATGAGCTTAGATGATAGCATTGGAAGTCTATTGTAATTTAGTATTAATCTTTAATCACCATCCTTGTCCAATTTCTTTCACCATATTCTGACCTTCCTTGTCTTTAATCATTATAACCAGCATTACCCTAAATTCCGTTGGCAAAGTCACTATCCTGTTGTACTGATATTTATACCTGCATCTGACTTTCCTCCAATAGTCTGTGTCTAACCCATCAGTTAAGCTGTTAGAGCATTCTGCCTTGATGGATCCGGCCTTCAGACTGGTTCAAAAAGCATCACTGTTACCTAACACTGGGTACATCACACCTGAAGATAACCAAGTGTGCAGTAGATACAGCATGTCATTTGTATACAATTTTGTACAGTTTTTGCTAAATCATTCAGTGACTTTCAGCTTGTGGGTATTATTAGGAAAGTATCCATGATCATTAAAATGATAGGATTCTAATTCCCTAGCCAGGTATTCTCCATTTTCTTGAATAATTACTCTTCTATGTTTGTCTTTGGGATTATACCAGCTGAAACTGTGTCACTTACCATTGTCAGAAATCATTATTCCCTCAACAAATAAGAGTTGATGGAGCTGTGCGGTGGTGGTGCACGTCTTTAATCACGGCACTCAGGAGGCAGAGACAGGCGGATCTCTCTGAGTTCAAGGCCAGCCTGTTCTACAGAACAAGGAGACCTCCAGGAGATAGAATTCTAGTTATTTAGTCAAGGAGTCTGACAGTAACTGGGAATTCATCATCTCCTGGATGTCTAGTAAATCAAAAACGTAGCTCTGCGAGCTTCCATAGCCTACGCTTAAACCGCACTCAAATGTCCCTCTGCGTTCTCTTCTTCTAATCATCAAGATCATTGGTGCCATTTCTATTTGGAACATTCACCATCAGGCAGCTCATTGGTACACTGAAGTGAATAGTGTAACTTGTTGTGTTGTTTAGAATGTCCCTGTTATCTGATGGAGCAAAAACCAAGCTGGAGACAGAGTGGAGGCTCCAGAAAGTAGATTTTAAACCCTTTTTTGTAGACACTGAACATTAGCTGAAATCTGTTTCGTCTCCTAGACAATACTCAATTATCAAGAAAGTAATTCCTCATTTATGAAGAATATCAGAAGATGGGGAAAGAAAGAATTCCAAGGAGTTGCTCTTACCATAGTCTTTTTATATTGATGGTTAGTGAATAGTGATGTCAGAAGCTCATACAGCCTGAACAAGATGTTTGGTTTTAATTTTTAGTTGAAAAGCTTTTCTATATTCAATGCTGTGCTGATAAACATTCCTAGAATCAAACTCCTGAGCTGGTCTACACAGAGCCACAGCTATGGAGTTATTGCTCTGTATCCAAGGGTATGTAAGGATACGGAAGGGCTCCGCTCGGGAGCCATCCTGCCTGAGTTCATGGACTCACTCTGCCACTTCCTGTCTGACTTTGGACAGCTTCCGTGAGCTCACTTTCCTTCACCACGATGTTGTGCTGTACATGTTAAATACATGTGTAGCATATATTTTTTAGTTCTCCACCCAGTTTGTTCTGATAGATATGCTGTTAGGCATGGAAATGAAAGATTAATTTCTAGTCGTTTTCTTTCTATAGTTCTGCCTCCTGTGATCTAGAAGAACTTCTCTAGTTCTCTTTCCTGTGGTCCCTGTGCCACTCCCACCACAGTAGGTCACGCAGTGCTGCTGCCCCACACAGTCTGTCACGCAGTGCTGCTGTCCCACCACAGTAGGTCACGCAGTGCTGCTGTCCCACACAGTCTGTCACGCAGTGCTGCTGTCCCACAGTCTGTCATGCATTGCTGCTGTCCCACCACAGTAGGTCACGCAGTGCTGCTGTCCCACACAGTCTGCCATGCAGTGCTGTCCCACACAGTCTGTCATGCAGTGCTGCTGTCCCACACAGTCTGTCACGCAGTGCTGTCCCACCACAGTAGGTCACGCAGTGCTGCTGTCCCACCACAGTAGGTCATGCAGTGCTGCTGTCCCACACAGTGTGTCATCAGTGCTGTCCCACACAGTCTGTCATGCAGTGCTGCTGTCCCACAGTCTGTCACGCAGTGCTGCTGCCCCACACAGTATGTCACGCAGTGCTGCTGTCCCACACAGTCTGTCACGCAGTGCTGCTGTCCCACAC